TAAATAAATAAAAAGATTAAAAGGAACTTGGAAAATTAAGTGTATTGGTAATATTGTATACAACTATTTATTAATTTTATGACCTTTTAATTGGACGTATTGAAGATAACGTATCATTGGTGTGTGATACAGGAGGGCAACATGGTATAAAACATATTGTTATATGTATTATATTTAAGAGCTGGTTATATTTATCAGGACACTTAAGTTCTTTAACCTGAATCATCATGCATGAGAAGCCAGATTAAGGTGTAAGGAGTAGAGTGGAATGTCACTATTTGCCTGTGGAAATGAATTATTGTTCTCTCGCAGAATCACAGAATGGTCAGGGTTGGAAGGGACCTCTGGAGATCATCTAGTCCAACCCCCCTGCCAGAGCAGGGTCACCTACAGCAGGTTGCACAGGACAGCGTCCAGGCGGGTTTTGAATGTCTCCAGAGTGGGAGACTCCACCACCTCTCTGGGCAGCCTGTTCCAGTGCTCCACTACCCTCAAAGTAAAGAAGTTCCTTCTCATGTTAAGATGGAACTTCCTATGTTCAAGTTTATGCCCATTACCCCTCGTCCTATCACTGGGCACCACTGAAAAAAGACTGCTCCCATCCCCCTGGCATCCTCCCATTAAGTATTTGTAAGTATTAATAAGATCCCCCCTCGATCTTCTTTTCTCTAGACTAAAGAGACCCAAGTCCCTAAGCCTTTCTCCATAGGAGAGATGTTCCAATCCCCTAATCATCTTCGTTGCCCTTTGCTGGACCCTCTCCAGCAAAGGACAGTTCCCTGTCCTTCTTGAACTGGGGAGCCCAGAACTGGATGCAGTACTCCAGACGCGGCCTCACCAGGGCAGAGTAGAGGGGGAGGATGACCTCCCTCGACCTGCTGGCCACACTCTTCTTGATGCACCCCAGGATGCCATTCGCCTTCTTGGCCGCCAGGGCACATTGCTGGCTCATGGTCATCCTGTTGTCCACCAGGACTCCCAGGTCCCTCTCCACAGAGCTGCTCTCCAAGAGGTCAGCCCCCAACCTGTACTGGTGCATGGGGTTATTCCTCCCCAGATGCAGCACCCTACACTTGCCCTTGTTGAATTTCATCAGGTTTCTCTCTGCCCAACTCTCCAGCCTGTCCAGGTCTCGCTGTATGGCGGCACAGCCTTCTGGCGTGTCAGCCACTCCTCCCAGTTTTGTGTCATCAGCAAACTTGCTGATGGTACACTCTATCCCTTCATCCAGATCATCAATGAATATGTTGAATAAGACTGGGCCCAGTATTGACCCCTGAGGGACACCACTTGTTACTGACCTCCAACTAGACTCTGCACCACTTACCACAACCCTCTGAGCTCTATCTGTAAGCCAGATATCTAGATGTCAAATCTATACCTGTGTATGCCCACACAAGGATTTTTGCTCTTGTATTTAAACCTTTCTGCTTTAATGAATGCCTATAGGAAATATTAAGGATAGCTGCTAACCAAAACTATCCAACCCTTATCCTAGGACTTTATCCCTACTTGGAATTGTGTAAGTGCAGCTCCAGACTACTTTAGATAGTATCTTTTGGAAGAACTCTATGCCAGACCTGTCTTCTCTGAACCTGGGAAGCAATCTTTACATAAAAATGCCTCAATTTATGAACAATAAATGTATCTTTGCGTTTAAGTTATTAAACTTCTTGTGAATGTGCTGTATATAACAAGTTATTCATATTTAGTGTTTGTAGGATCGTAAGGATGGTTTATGTTGGAATTTTTAAGAGTGAAAAGATAAGTTAAAACTGAGAGGGGACTTTCAGAAAACTGCTGATTTGCAATTGTGTGTGTGAGGTGCAGAATTTCTACTGCTTTGACCAATTCTCTTACGAGACTTTAGCACTAGTTTGAGCAGTGCTTTGTTTCTAACGTTGGCACTTGAAGTTTACTAAAACGTTGTGAGGGTTCTGTAGTTCTTAGTAGGGGAAGAAGCACTGTGTAAATGTGGAGCAAAAGGTCTATTGTTCTGATGCCTGGGGACCTGGAAAACTGTCTTATGTGTTTTCTTATTAACGCGGTTATTCACTAACTACTTTTTAATATCTTTCGTTAGGTTTTCTTCCTGGATGTTTCTTCAACTGTCTCGTGATGGAAGGGAAACATTTTTGAAGTTATAATGGATTTTACGCAACACAACAAAAACTGGCCTAATAGCAGCATTTCTGTTTGAAGAGAATACGCATAATTACAAATAATCATGACAACTTCTCATATGAATGGACACATCACAGAAGATTCTGACAGTGAAGCAAAAAATGTGGATCTTGCATCTACTGAGGAACCTCAAAAACACAGAGAAATGGCTGTTGATTGCCCTGGGGATTTGGGCTCCAGGATGATGCCCATGCGGCGGAGCGCTCAACTTGAGCGAATCCGTCAGCAGCAAGAGGACATAAGGCGCAGACGGGAAGAAGAGGGAAAGAAACAAGAACTGGACCTTACTGCTTCCATGAGGCTAAAGAAATTAGCACAAATTCCTCCTAAAACTGGAATAGATAATCCAATATTTGACACAGAAGAAGGGATTGTTTTGGAGAGTCCTCATTATACTGTGAAGACACTAGGTGGGTAAAATGTAATGAATTGGCTAATGGAGGAAATAATTAGCTGATATTAATGTTCTTTTAGGCCACTGAAAACCTAATTTAGCTAATTCTTCCCATATAGATTTAAAATCTTCTGATCCTTTGGATTTGTCGTGGCTTAAGTTTTTTTTTTTTTATTTATTTAGTCAAGCATCAGGCTATGTGCTTCAGCAAGTGGCTTTTCAAAACCTATCCATTTAGGGACTTTTATCTGCCCTATAGATAACTTATGAATTCAGTAGATGTCTCCATCCTCTTCAGGCTGGGGAAAACCATGCCAGTAATACCCAATTTTATTATGTTTGAAGCACAGAGCAGAATAAGCAGTGAATGAACACTTATTGTCTTTTAAAAGCAAAACACAAGAGTTTTTAATACTTTAAGAGAAGCATGCTGGTGGTTTATTATTCTAGCTGTCTTGCATTATCAATTTTCACCTAATATAGTTTACATTTTCTCTTATCTGCATTGATAGTGGAAGAACTGCTTACTGTGGCGCGTAGACTTTAATGAAAATGTAATGTTAGTAATTTTTTAATAGATAGATTCTGAAATTCTTAATTTCATAGCTGTCATTGCTTTAACTATGCTTTTGTAGAAAACGTTTCTAACCTTTCTTCCTCAAACATAAGTATTTATCTAAACCAGGATGAGTCACTAAAGTGAAAAAGACGCACTGGGAATTTGTAGAAGTACAGTTCAGATTTTCAGATCTATACCTGCTCAAAGATCCAGACTGCTTTAAAAAGATGCCTTTTTGGGGGCTGCAGTAAAGATTTTTGCTATTCTTCCCTATTAGCTGGTAGTTGAGAATAGAGGGTGAAAAACAGCTATCAAATTGCTAATTTATTTTTGCGTCATCTTTAGTGTTTGTGTGCTCAAGCAACATTTCTGCTAAAGACATGGCTCTATTCCCTAACCTCTGGTAATCCTTATTTTAGAAGTCCCTCTTTAGGAAAATTTAGGCTGAAAGGGTCATCAGGAAGTCATCCTGTCCAACCTCCGGCTGAAAGTAGGGTCAGTTATGAACAAGGCAGGTGTACCTTGTTTTAGTGCAGGGCTTGTCAGCTTCTGCCCAAGAGATTTGCTGTGAGAAGCAAATTCTCCGCTTAACTTCATGAAGTGTTAGGTATTTGATTGTGAAATTCTCTTCTTAGAGGGAACAGAAAGCAGAAGATCAAAGATTGACATCAAACAGCAGAAGTGACTTCTGTTGGGACTTGCTTAGCCTCAGTGGCTGAAAGCTCTGAAGACCGACTACACAAGGAACCAGAAATTGGAACTATGGAAGGGAGGAAAGAGTAGCTTGGAATTAGAAAGCTGAGGCTAGGTTTCCTGCCAGAGATGTTGAGAACTAAGAGGGAGGGCTAGGTGGAAACCAACGGACAAAGAAGCTAGGCATGGAACCTGGTAGGGGTGAGAAATGGGTATGGCAAGCTTGAGTACGAGTAAGGAGATGGGGTAGACTGAAGCTGTTTGAACTGGAGAGGCAATGGTGGAGAAACTACTGGGAGGCTATTTTGAAATAGAAAGGCTATTTTGAAAATTTCTCAGTGGGGGGATAAAATGGGTATAGGCTGTGGGTAAAGGCGAGAGATTGTGAGAGAAAGACAGTATTTGTGGAAAACTGGAAGGAGGTAACTAGGTTTAGCTCAGCAAGAAGAGAAGGGGGGAAATCAGTGTGAATGGAAACTAGGATTGTGTGAATACTTGATGTAAGAAGAAACACACCGAACACTGGAGACAAGAATATAGAGGTGTGTGTATGTGGAAAGAGAGAAATTAGGGAATAGCAATATACGGTATAAGATGCATCTTGAAGGAAAAGGATGAGATGAGTTTGTCCACGAGGACAAACTCCTCTTCACTTTTGTAATCAAAGCTTGATTCTTATAATTTTTCTGCTGTCAGCATATTTCTCTAAAAACACAGTAGTAAATTGCATGATTTAACTAAAGCTATTCCCCTCAGTGTTTGAACACCATGAAAATGGGAAGCTAATGATGTCTGTCTCTACTTTGAATGGCAGTAAATAAGGCTTACAAGTATGTTGCATGGAGCAGAAGTGTTGACTAGCTTGCGGAGTGAATATTGTCCGTTCTTTGAGCTAGAAAGGCAAGGAGCTTTAGGAGATGTAATTAGACTAAATCATGATATATCCATTTAGGCATGAGAGAGCTGAGTTAGGGCTTCATAGCCATCTGTTTCCATCAGAGAAGTCATGACATAATATTGACAGGCATACAAATATACTACTGTTATTATCTTGCTAGACACAATTATAGTAACAGTTTGGATCAGATAGACTTAAAATTTAAGAGGAGAGGTTTTATAATAGTTTAGTACTCCTGTTAGAGTGGTACTTTCAATTATATTCAACTGTGTTGTTGAGTTATTGCAAACTTAAAAAAAAGTTATAAATGAAATGCTGTGATCTTTTAACCTATATAGTCCATAAAGAATCTCTGTTCGGTCATTATTGCTGTCAAAAACTGAGTCATAATTCTAAATTTAACAAAGTGCTTCTGCATTAACTTGGCCTCTTCCGAAGTTTTCCTCCACTATTAAGCATGTCCTTTTTTACAGTTTCTGGATTAATTGTTCTAACATCTAATACTTGTGCTGAATTTCAAAAAAAGAATATTTTTTTTTTTTTTATTCTGAAAGCTGTCTGTCTGTTTCTGATTGGTATCAGGGCTAGGTATGTTGCCTTACAAATATATACACACACTTATAAAATAATATGGTTTCACAGAGAGGCTTTGAGTCCATTATTGTTAATGCTTCTGCTTTTTTATTGAATAACTGAATTGGAGAGGCCAGATTTAAAATTTACAAGTTTTTGTTCTCCAAGAAACTTGCTAGCCCATAATACTGTCCAAAATGTAACTGCTAGTATTGGAAATTTTTCGCAGTTTGTCTGTTTGGTTAAACTGAACTTCTGATCTACACTGTTCTTTCTGTCTTTCCACTTTTGAAGTCCAGGTAAGAGTGCTTAGTCACTTTCACAAATATCAGCTTTGTTAGGACAACCCCAAATAAACCTGGGCAGGTGCTAGTGAATTAGAGAGATGTGAAACTACCCTTATTCAGTCTTTTTCTTAAAAAAAAAAATAAAATATTAGTTTTGGGTTTTTTGTGGGGTGGTTTTTTGTGTGTGTTAATCCATAGAGCCTCTGCTAAAGATCTGTGTTTTAAATAAGAATACTGACCTTATTGTCTGTATTTTTAGTGTTGAAAATGTTTAATAAGTGCCAGTGTCTAATTTGGCAGATCTTTGCCATGCCTTTAATCTTTTTATCTTTAAAAAAAAGACTAGATTAAACAAATTGTATTTTATTTATAAAAATCAAACAGGACACTTAATCAAAACAATTCTAAAGGGCATGTTTGTTACCAAAACAGTACATGATTTAGACAGCTGTCTTAATGGAAATAACTTTCTGTGCACCGCGAACATGTGTGTGTAAGTAACTGGCTTTTTTCACAGCAGTATACTTTTATTAAACACAGAAAATATTTTGTTTGCTATGGTTCATTCAGCTAATTTAGTTAATTTATTTAAATGAGTAACTGACATTTCACGTAAGTAAACCTTTTGTGGCTGCAGTGATTTTTATTTTTTTTTTATTAGGGGAAAAGCTGCCTATTTTTTGGTTTTATACCTTGGGAAAAACTCTAACTTGTATAAATACTTTATAAATATAAATAAGCTTTTAGAAATAGTTTTGGATAGAACAATACTTTTCTTAGTCCTGTGATTCAAGTAATATATGGAGCATTAGAGTACTAGTATCAACACATAGAGTACTCTGGAGATCTATGAAAAAACTTGGGAATTAAGATATTGATGCTGACATAAAATAAAGCCAATTATATCTTCTTAAGTCTGCTGTTCATATTTATTTTTTTAAGGTGATAAGCAGCAGCTATTTTCTATGTTTCTTTTTCTAATCTAACATATTAAGCTGTGACCATGAGTCCTCCCCTGCAGCTGCATACTTTTGCCCTGGCAATCTTTTGATTAATGCTTATATCGCACAGTGCTCAGTCACATTCCAGCCATTTCATAGCCTAATGGGAAAAAGGCTGCAACACTTCTTGTAAAAGAAGACTTTAAAAAAAAATAGTAGTTGATTGCTAATTGATCTGCGATTAAAAAATGGACTTGTTCTGCAAAAGAACCCTGACATTTTTCTGTGAGTAAATGCAGATGTTAGTCTTTTACTGATGTTTTTCTTTTCCTTAAGGCAGCCCTTTCAATAGGAAATGTCTAGAGATGGAGTCTTTTGTTACCTGGCATTCATTAAAAAAAAAAAAAAAAAAAACAAAAAAACAACCAACCAAAAGCAACCAAAAAATCCTCACCAAAATCTAATCTGTGATTTAGAATTCAGAAACAGGAGCCTAGAGAGAGTTAGGCATTTATATAAAGTCAGATTTGTATGTGGTTTTATCTGTGTGAGGTTTTTTTATTAAGTGACTAGAAATGAATTGCTAGCTTTGTGGGAATACTTAATTTCACTCCTTGCAAGCATTATTTCTTTTAGAATTGTGGTGAGGGGGGTACTTGTTTGCTGTTTCATGGTTCACATTTGGTATAGGGCTTTTATGTCCAGCACAGATGAAGATTCAGGGTAGAAGGAAATTATACCGAGAGGAGAGTACTGTGTTAATTTGTAAGAAAGGGCAACACAGAGGGAACGAGTAAAGTGCAGAAGAGATAATATATAGAGGCATTGAGAAAGTACATATTTTTATCTCTTTATTATTGATGTCTATCTTTCTAGATGTATTTATATCTTATATAGAATATGTATTAGAAAGAAATTTGTGTATGTATTTGAATTCTCAGATATGTAAGGGGGGACAGACAATTCCAAAATTATTGAATGAAATAATTCATGCATGGGAAATACTAGAAGTTAGGTTCTTCTCTAATGCTTCACTATTCTTTGAAACTGGTAACAGTAACAAATAACAGCATTTCGGATTGGTGTAGGTTTTTTTTAGCTGGACACTTATTAGTAGGAACTTTACAATAACATCTGACTGGTTTACACTTTTTTTTATGCTTGAAAATATTGCAGTTCCTCAGACTCAGGAGAACCAGTTGCTGAGACGCTTTGGTAGTCTGCATGCTCCACTAGATAAGAAATTTGTCAGCTGACATCATGCTATTTAGCAAATATTCTTGCTTGAAAAGTGTTGTTTAGCCTTCTCTCCAAATGGCTTTCCCCCTGTGTTATAGGCAGTATATTTTGTATACAGTTCCCTAGTGAGACATTGGCCACCTTAATTAGTGTGGTGAGCTGTACTGGATTTCACCTGTGGAATATCCTGCACCGCTGGTATCGGAGCTTTCTGTGCAGCTTTTGTACTGCTGCCCTTTGTTTCCTTGGTGGTTACAGGAAGAAGCCCTTGACCTTGGGTGGGTGGGATGTTTTTAGCATGCATGGAATGGGGTTTTTTTTGTGGTTTGTTTTTTTTTTTTTTTTTCCTACTGTTCGGCGGATAGTATAGGAGTAGTAGCTCTGGATTATTTGCTTCCTTTTATTATAGAGAAGACTGACTTGCAAACTCAAAATTGAGAACATAAATGTAGGTATGCTTTGTCTGAAAATAAAACCACTAAACCTGTTTGAAATGCGTATTTTATTAGGCTTTATGGATTTCATATGCCTATTAGCAACCTTTTTAATTTTGTGCTCAACAAGTTTGAGTCTAGCATGTTCAGTGTACTGGTGAATTTGAGGTTAAAGACAGGTAAAGGAAACTTCTTGACAGAATGTATCTGTGTTAGTGATTAGTATCTGCTGTGATATATTTTTTTTATGTAAAAATTGCAACTTAGTAGATGTCTTAAATAATAAAACAGGAATGCTATCAGTTAGCTCAAAACGAATAAATGAAGGTTGCTAAAACTTCACATTAAAGCTGATATATTGATACCAGTAAGGGAGGTTGAACTCAGTATCAACTGGCAGTTTTACAATTTGTTCATTTTTTAAAAACACCGGGATTCAAAATTCTAGCTGACTTGAATTTATTAAAATAGAAGGTAGCTGACCAGCCTCTTGTGGCTGATTTTTTTCAGATGTTGTGTGAGAATGCATACATTAATTCAGGCTCAAAACATCCACTGTTGTGGTTTTGGTTTTTTTTTTGTCTGCTTGAGGATTTCTTACCTGGGTTTATAATTTAATCATATTTCTTGTTTTAGATAGTTCCTCAAGCACTTAATATTGAGAAGTAACATTTTGGAGAAATTCGGATTGGTAAAAAAAAAAAAATGTACATTTGTTGACAGTCTTTAAGAAGCAACCATAAAGCATCAGATTACATGTACTACATTTTTGAGCTTTAACTATAGTATTCTGCAAACATGTAGAAAGCGGTTATTAAAATATATTAAAATATTTTATGGTCCAAGCAGAACTCATAATCTTGTAGGTGGACTTTCTTCTGGTGCAGACGACTTTCAGAACTCTGACCGTAGATAATCTTTTTTTAATCCTTAGCTTTTTATTTTAATGTGCTGAGACTGAGCATAATTTTATGTTTAGAAATTGAGTGTAGTTTACTTAACAAACCCTCATTGTATAAGCAAAGTTTAGTTGAGAGATATATCTGTCTGCCATATGTGGCAGATAGGCATGGAAAGCTGTATCAAAATAACAGTGACTATTCAGTGCATTAGCAAAGGAGTTATTTTCATATTGCAAAATGGTCCCTTTCTCCTATTTAGCTGTACATGAGCTGCAATTATTGGATCTTTTATGTACCAGTGATTTTTATTTTTTTTTTTCAGAGTAGAACTGCTCATGCAATAGGAATTTAGATTTAAACAGTGTATTAGCTTTTTAATTTCTCCTTTTTTACTCACTTGGGGTCCTTTGATTCAGATATGTTCTGCTAATAAAAGTCAGACTGAATAATAGATAACTGATAAATTTGCATACATCATTGCTGATTAAAAGCTGAACAGCAAAAAAATTTTTGGTAAAAATCTTCATATATAAACATTACTTAATTATGAATCTTGTTAACTCATACCTTATTTTGTTATTTCCTACCTAGAAGTGGAAGAACTGTTAACTTCTCTTAAGCATATCCAGCACGTTTTGGTAGACCCTCAGAGCCAAGAGGATATCTCTCTCATTTTACAGCTTGTTCAAAATAGTGATTTTCAGAATGCGTTTAAGATACACAATGCTGTTACAGTGCACATGAACAAAGCCAGCCCTCCATATCCTCTCATCTCCAATGCACAAGAACTAGCACAAGAGGTATGTACAGTATGCATCTCTGTGATATATATGAAACCTATAATCATAGCTGTTGTTGAAATATGTACTTGTCAAGCTTGTCTGAGTTATTGAATGTTGAATATGAAAGGGATTATAATAGTCACTGATTGCTGTATCCAGTTTTTCCAGATATCCAAAGTAACCAGAAAAATATTTTGGGGTTAAGAACTCCCCTTTTTAGCGTGGATAGATGTGTGGCAGAAAAAGTACTATGTTTAAACACAAGAGAAGGAAGTGATTATGAAAATCTGACTCTTTTGCCTTCATTATTCTTTATTCTAAGCATTCTGAAATTGAATTACAGTTCTCTGTTATTGTGACTTTCCTCTGAGTTGAGCTATGGTTCTTAAATTGGGAGCATATCTGAAAATACAACCATACTGGAAACAAGCATTCTGCTTTAAAGTGAGCAATAGATCCTTTAAATATTTAATTTTGATCTCTTAATTACTGCTGTGATGGTCAGATAACACTTAATTTTTGTCTGACAGATGACAGCTCTTTTATAAGATCTGGTATGTCTTTTAGAAATGATTAAAGTATACTTTTAGAAATTTACTTGACTTGACCAAGATTTTTACCTTTATTATTTTCAGACAGATCTTAACTGTTTAAAATATTTCTACAGTTTCATCCAGGCTAACTACTTTCTTTGAGGCTTATTCACTTAAATATAGATGGGCAATACCTTTATACAGTAGCTTTATAAGCATTAGTAGTAATTTACAGAAAACTCATCAGATAGTTGATGTGAACTGAATGAGTTTTCACATGTGGCTGGATGCAGCTAAGACCCTCTGAGGGATTGCTCAACAACTTTGTCTTCATTTTCCATGACCTGGTACATATTTATATTGCAGTGAAGTCAGGCTATGCCTTATACGGATATACATTTGTTAACTTTAAACTAGCTACCTTGAATACCAATATCTGTGCAAGCATAACACTGTAGTATTCAGCAAAGCCAGATCCAGAGGCTGGGTAAATGTTCCCTGGGTGCTAAATGCTGGAACCAAACTTACCTGTTCAAAACTGGCTCAGGTACTCCAGCCAGTGTACCTGAGCCAGTGTATAGCCATTCTCTAGTTGCTCAAAGGCACGTTCCTCCAATTTCAGTATGGTAGCAAGTTGATCTTTTTTTTTTATTTTTAGTATCTGGTTTTCTTTCTGCCTGAAGCAATTTTTTCTTCAACAGCCCTTTCCATTCTCCTTCCTTTTTCTAGACTTTAACCTTGTAACTCAAGGAAAACAGCATTGTAGCAAGCTTGAAGTTCCTCTGCAGAAGAAACTACTGATTCCCGAGGGACATTATTTAAATGTTACCTAAAGGTGCAGTGTGCTGATTAAACTGCAGCTCAGGATTTTCCTGTTTAGGTTTGTCAGTAAGGTTGTGCCAAAACAGGGTGGGACTATTTTACATATGAGCTTCCCTCTGGCTTATTCATCAGTCTGTAGGCTGCTATAGGATCCTCACTAGGCTTCTTTAATATCTGTGAGCCTGAAGGAACCTTTTCAGTTAACTTCGGTTTGTAAACTACTTCCCCCTGCTTTACACAGGCCTAGTTTGGCATTTCGTTCAGATACAAGCCAGAGTTTTTGAATCTCCATTCATAATATAGAATATTACAGATTTATGTCTTAAGAAAGCTGGTTTTTCCCTTTTGTGGATATGGTGTCCTTTTATTTCCTGCTTAATGAAAGTTTCCAGGAAAAACTAGGAAAACTTGTAGGTTCGTTTTCAAACTTTCGTGTTCTTCCCCATCTTCCCTGACCCTCACCTTCCCAGCACATTCATCTTTTCAGGTGATTTGGTAAATCCTAAAATAAGAAGGTCGTGCAAAGCCAGTTTTGTCTCTTAGCAATCCATGAAGAAGGTTAAGCATAAAGAAAATATTCCTTTAATCTAAAATTTTTAAACCAATGGAATTTTGTCATCACCCAGAAGACTATTACATAAAAGGCAAACACATTCCTGCCCTCATTTTGATTCTTAATCTCCCATCCTTGTCTTGTCCAGCCTTGAAATTCCTGAAAAGTCAATATATTGCATATGTCTGTTCCTATTTTCAGATGTAATCTAGTTTCTCGGTGATTCAGCTTCTGGTGTATTTAAGCGACTTGTATTTTGCAATATGTTAAATAGTATCCTGAAATGATCGAGCCAGAAATTCAGGACAAATATTTCTGTAGCTGTCAGAAGTTTCTCAAGAGGAACACCGTTGAGGCCTCCATTCACATCATTCTGTACTTCCTAGTCTTGCCTGAATAGAAGACTTTACGCTCATTTTTCAGATCCTTTATTCCTTTTGGAAAGGCTTCTGTATTACAGTAGCAGTATGGGAGGAAATTATTTCTGCTTTAGGAAAAGTTGTTTTGGTTTTTTTGTGTCTTTGGTTTGTGTGATGGGGTGGGTTTTTTCTTTTTTTGGGAGTGTTGGTTGGTTGTTTTTTTTGCCCTGACAAAGTGTCTATCTTGCATGCCCAGCTTTTTTGCTTGTACTGTGACATTTCGTTGGG